TCCAGCAATAGTCGCTAAACATGCTTCAGGTTCTTGATCCATAGGCTCCTCAGCATCCACACGAATTTAGTGGCAGCTGGACCAACCGGGTTATGAGCAAACGCTTGCAACCAAAACAACAAGACCACGAGCTCTAAGTCAGATCTGTAGAGACGGATTCCCGCTCAGCATGCCTCCCCGACCCAGCCTGCACAGATTGTCCGTAGGTAGATCCACTGCTTCCTCCGCGCTGCATTGTCCAGGCATGGGTCCCAGCAGAGCTGAACTTCATCAGGAACATATCTCTGCCGCTTGGACTGCCGTTCCCATCCAGGTCACCTTCTGTGACGCCGGTCACAAAAACGTTGTCCGAGGCATCTACCTCAGCGGCTTCTTAAGCCAATGGCACTGATCGCGTGTAGTTTGCTCAATACAGAACTGGCTGTCAACCAACACACACACACACACACAGACCCCTGAAACGGATCCATGCGGCAAGCTTGAGAAGCAATAGTGGGGAGTGGCGAGACATGGGTCCGACGTTTGCAGGCATCTCTAGAAAACGATACCCAGGAGCCGGCAACACAACAGACCTTCCCAGCGGGCCTGCAGACCGTGGGCGGTATCACTCGCGCTGCTTCCGTGCAGTCCCGTCCACACCCATTCACCGGCGCTGTTGAATTTCATGATGAAGATGTCCCGTGAGCCAATGTGGCTATTCCCGTCAAGGTCTCCCTCCGTGTAGCCTACTACCCAGGCGTCGCCCAAGCTGCTCACCTCGGCGAGGGTTGAAGGTGCTGCGGGGGAAGGCTTCCCGTCACATACCCGAGACAGTCCCATGCGCTTGTCGCGCCCGAGCTCCGAGAAACCAAATGCTGAAAACTGCCTAGTCGGAAATTTCACAGGCATCGATCATCGAGCTAACCTCAAATCAAGCACCGGCCTGCATGGCTTGTGAGTAGGGTGGGTAAGCGCTTCCGCTCCCGCGCTGTGTGGCCCATTCTTGCACCAGCTGGCCGCTTACTGGTACCATCCATGGTAGGAGCAGCGCCAACCACATCACCGTCGCTGCCATTGCCACCTAAAAATCGACACCGCTTGGCATTCCCCTTGAGCCCCGTAGCCATGGGTTGTTTTGGATCAGGGTTTCGGGCTTCAAGATTTGATGACGCGGCTTCAAAGTCGTTTCAGATGTGTTGGCAGCAACAGTACGAAGGGACTGCAAAAGGAAATCGGCGAGATTCT